AGAACCGAGGGATAAACCACTATCGTATTACATAAAGGTGTCGATTAAGTGAATACGCGGTACCTTCTCCAACTCTATATCAGCAAGCCAGAATCCAGGGATATGTAACTGGTCAGTATCAGTGTAATATGATGGTGGTCTACCCCTCGGTATTAGTGAGGCGCCACTTTTGAACTTTTGAATTAGTCTTCTTGTACCACGCTGGGTGGGCTGGCCTTTGGGCCATGCCAGTAGCTGAAATAAATCCTCTGTATCGAATACATATTCTGCCCGAATATTTTTTTTTTCGTCCTTAGAGAAGTCTCAGGACGATACATTAAAGTAAGAACAAAATTATATGCACCTCGTTCTATATCAAAAACTGCTTCTTAGCAGCTATTACAGATACAAGCGAAAGGCACAGGAGATGGCTAGCACAGTTCCCTCTTCCACCGCTGCAGTTTCATAGCAAAAAAAATCTACGGACGTAGTAGAATTGTCGTGATATTTCAGACATACTGCGCTCAAGTATCTTCACTCACTCTTTGGAATGGCCTCCCTGATATGCAAGTAGCATTAACTTATCTGTGCGTGGGGAATTGATCTTCCGTCATGCTCCTATGACGTGACTAACGCCATAAATAACTTGGGATGCCAAGGTTAATTACACTAGGGTTTGTTACGGTCAAGAGAGTTTAAAGAAACTTTTCCATCCTGCGGTCGCATTTTCGAGTTTTCATTTTATTGCTGATTTTGCAGAACACTTCCTATCTTCCGACACAAGTGAAAACCATTTTTTTTGTTTATTTTGCTTTTACGAAAGCATTTTGTCAATAACTTTCTGAACTATGCAAACATTTATATTTAAACGCCCTTAAGGTAGAACGATAGTGACTAGGGCTAACCGCAAGAGATTTGAACATACTCTAACGAGAGACACAAATTTAGAAAGGTGAATTAGTGTAATATTTTGAAAAGGCTGGCACTATGTCAAAACACGTGCCAAATGTATTAATTGATCCATTTTGTTTACATGATCCAACCATCGGTGTAGCGCCGATTTGATTGGGCGTCGCCTAGAGTCTGGAGTGTTTTTTGTGCTGTTTTTTTGCCAAAATTCATGTTCGTCCAATTTCTTACACCCTCTTATTTGCCTATAATACCAGAAAAATTTTGTCTTAGCTAAGGTGCGCCTTATTTTTTTTGAGAAAATGAGTCATAAACTTTCGTTAATAATGGGATGCGTTTCTTGTAGTGGATATACTGTCATAATGGTACACCTGTAAAGTCGTTGTATTTTGTTGTGTAATGACAGTTAGGTGAGTGCGGTTCTGCCCTCACCTATCTTTATGTCCATTCATAATGAGGAATGTAATAATAATGATTTTGCCTTTACTTGACAATTTTTTTGCATTTATTGGGCCTTTTTGTTCCAGCTTTTCCCCATGTGAGAATTGACGATAATTTTTGTAGACTATTTATTTTTCTTTTTAAGCGATTTTTATTTTCGTCACCATCGTCTGCTATGATTGTTACGTGGGAGGCACGTTTTCATTTTTGCTTTTTGTATCTTATTAGACACAGTGATTCTAGGTGTTATTGGCACATTATAAAACTTACAGAGTGCTTTTATTGGGAAACGGCAGTGTTACCCACATCTTACGATAACGATTGGGGTTTTTGGGGTAATGCATGCCTTGCATTCTATAAACTTCTTTAGCTCTGAAGGCCCGTTCTATCAATTTTGTGGAATGTCTCATTCTCTAACAGGACAGGATGTGCTATTTATGGAAAGCAATCAATCTCAAAGGCCTTCAGATTTGTTGTGCTGCGATAAGCCAGTGATGGATGCGAACATTGATCCTGTTCAATCCGCTTTATCACCTATTTGCTCTAGGCGGCGTTTCATTAAAGGAGTTGCTAGTTCAATTTCGGCAGCCCTAATAGGTAGACGATTTTTGTGTACCAATTGAAATTGAACTATTTACTTTATAGATAACTCCGAGCTTCCTAAGACTTTTCAAAAGAGGGATTACCCTGTTCTTTTTCTGTGCGAACAGGATCAGGTATTTTGAACCTAAGTTTTACATTATTTCATTCGACCACATAACTTTATATCAAATTTTTCATTTTGAGGCTTTGTTCGAAGAATCGCCGCTTCATTCAGTTAAATTTCAGCCTTGGACTCGAAGTATTTTCAATGCAATCCCGCATGACCCAATAACTGTAGGTTTTTTGGTTCGTATAACCTCGTTATGGTTTATCCCTTATTGATTGTCATCACATTGCTGTTGGCTTAAACTCTCCTTTGTCGATGCCTCGGTTTAAGCGATACCTTTTTTGCGATCAACTGTTGGACACTGTTCATTTGAACGACGCGTACCATCGTGGTAATAATTTCGTTGAAATTTGGCGTGTGGTTGCACGTGTTTGTTAATTACGAAGAAACACTCGTTTTGCTCCCGATTTTACAGAAATTATTTTTCAACAATCATGTTCTTGTGCTGCGGATCCCTTCAAATTGTAAAACTGTTGCTATGTGCAACGCTCCTTTACACCTTATGACAGGTGAACTCACGCACCTTAAATGATTCACTATACTAGTTTTTTAGAATACGTTTTCATTCGTCGTATTCTCTGCCTCTTTTGATACTTTTGGAGGTTTAAGATAAAGTGCTCCTCTTTTATACATCCCTTAGAATTTATTGAGTTAAGCATCCCGTACATAAGATGCCTCGGTATTAGTTTCGGACGTAAGGAAACATTCTCTTAGCTGCGTTGCGGTAAAATGAGGCAAACATAGTTTAGAAATAAGGACATTTTGGGGTTTTCGGTCCAAAATCCAAAAAAAAAACTAATTGCGTCCGGTATTTTGCGCTGGTGCCACCGAATTCCGCTAATTATTTAAACCTGGCCCGATCAACATGCTAGCCTATCAAAGGATACACGGGTGTGACATCCCGAACATTCATAAAGTCTACCTATCTGCAAACTCTTCTATCCGTGAGGAAAGCCCATTCTTATACGCGTATTTGTATCTTAGTCGATATTTGCATATATCTTCCGTTTAATCGTCTTTTATTTTTTAGCTACAATCTGAAACACCGAAGATATTCAAGGCAAGTTTTTCTGCTATAAAAATGCAGGTGATTTTATGTCTTCTACAACCCTTTTTTGAGCCTTGTCAACTATACCTGCAAATATTAAAAAAAACGATTGTTTGAGATTTCCAGAATAGCTAGTCAAATCTAAAAATACTGCAAAGATCTTAAGAATAATGTCAGAAATTAACTTGTCAACTTCATTTAAAGATGAACAATGCATCTAGGGTATAAAAGAGTTAATTAGTTATCAACTGCCTAAAGATCTTGACTGGGTTTGGATCTGACGATAATAGAAATGAGCCGTCTGGTATGGAATCCGTAGCAGATATTTTTTCGTTACCGTCATGATTTATGTGCTGGCTTTCGCTTACCCTTTTCAGTAGGGTTGATGTAATTGTTGTCATCATCCAAACTGAACTTTACTTCTATGCTGCCCGCCAAACCCTCCATGAAATAAAGGATTTAGCAAGCGTACGATTCTCATACGGTTTTAACGGGCGCGTATATTACTTTGTAGAAAGTTGAACTGATTTCACATGAAGAACCCGCTTTTCGGAGTAAGTAACTGTGTATACACAAAATGATAGGTTACAAGTAAAACGTTTTAATAGATTTGTATTTTTGGAAGGATTAGGAAAGAGTTCCTGCACCTCTCCATCGCTTTTCAGATCCTCCTCGTTCGAGCATCAAATCCAGGTATCGTACTGCGTTTGATAACCCTCTTCTACGTATGAGTTATTCCACTAACAGCACAGTCTGTTGGCATAACCACTTACAAATTGGGATAAGTCGGCTTCAGTGGCACTTGTGCCTTATTCAAAGCTTAAGCGAAAGTCAAGCGTCTACCCGCCTTGGTCAATCTACAACTATTAGCGGATTTATCCTAAAGCGTGCCGCCCCCACACTTTCGGTCGTGTCGATGTCAGCTGAAGCAGAAAAGAGCACGTGAAATTTTTACAGATCACAGAGCATTTGACTACAAACGGATAAATGAATATCCATTCACGTCTTGATTTATACATTAACGAGCGATCTATCCATTCTATTTCACCGTTTTATTAGCCCATTAAAGTCAATTTTCCCAATAACTATCTGTTTTAACTTAGCAATCCAAGTGATCATTTTTGTACCTTTACCCATTTAAAGCGCAGAGATTTTGTGTGGTGGATAAGGCCTAAGCAGCGAAGAGTTGGGAGTTCAATGACCTGAACCAGTTCAATTGAACGTTGCTTATATCCCCTATTAGATTGCCCACACTAACTTCCATTTTTCAATCTAAACACCCTTGCTTTGCAAAAAGCACTACTAAGTGTAAAGAGTATTTATACCTGAAGCAAACAATCATTGGGAAATTTTTAAAGTCGCCATGGTTTTCTCTAGTCACATCAAATTTAGGAGGGCGAGGCAGATCCATTTGATGTACTTTAACACCTATCGACCTTCAGTTGATACGTAAACAGCGATTTACGATTCTCCATGTGATTGAAACAGTGGACTTATTCGGATTCGTTAAAACACACAATCCATTGTTTTAGCCGAAATTATGGTGTTATTTCGAGTCCTAAAGCATTTCTCAAAAATAAGTAGCTTTTGGATCGCATTACAGCGGCAGCCATTAGGTACCTACAACGAATCACCGGTGAGAGTGGCTCCTCTTCTGCGTAAATCATCGACCACCTTAAGGGAAGAGAAATACTTGAAGGCTACTAGCTATTTGACAAGATGTCTCATGTTTTAACAAAAAATAAAACAGCAGCACTTAGTAACTAATCGTTACCGATGTCTTGTGAGCAACTCATAAACCACGCGACCTGCACATCCTCCTCAAATTGCGTTTTAAAGTATCTAGGGGGTAAATATATCTGAAAAGTACATTCGTTTCCTCTAACACGCTTCGTATTCACTACAGGAACCTCAAAGACTTGAGTGCTATGCAAAAACAGCTACTAGAAAGTTTATTTTGGCTTTTTTTGCGCTCTGAATACCTCGTCCATAGGCGTTTGCGATCCGCTTCTCAACCAATGGGAAATTTATGTTTCCTTTAAAGCGTTTTTACGCATCGCACCAAGTCTTAATGTGACGTTTAAATTGTTTTATTGTTATTGCAAACGAGGACTTATGTAGCTTTGCTAGTCAAAATTTATTTAATGACTTTTTACATTGAAAGCTACTTTCCTGTAGATTCTCAGCAGTTGTTGGCCCACAGATGCATCTTCACACGCTCGCCCAGTTTCAAAGGTAGGCGTTTGTTAAACCTATGAATCCATTTAGTATTTACATCTTTATTTCGGTTTATTCGTGGCTCCATCGTCACCATTGTTTAATTTCATTTTAACAATTTGTTGGTTACTCGGCTTCTAAAATATGTATTTGTTGCTGGCTATCATCACCCAACAATGATGGCGGTATGAATTTATCACTAACCGCACCTGTTAATTTTTTGTGCAGTTACGCGAATCGCACTAGCGAGGTTTGGAGCAAATAAGTAGCGGGTGAAAGATATGCATCACTCTAAGAACCCATTAAGGGCTATTGTACGCACACAGGGATCGGCACCATGCAAGCGACCACGGGTCCGCGGGGCCAGTCCACCGCTCGGCTGCGTCACGGGTCTGATTCGCTCGCTCGAGGCTTGGAAGGACCCTGCGCAGGCGCCATCCTCTAAGGAGCAGGCCAAATTGAACAGCTTTGCATGCGAGCGCAGCCGCCGCCAAAAGCACGCTATCCTCCGTCTCTGGCTCGAGGCCGCCCAAAGGATGCTCATCAGTAGCACATTTTACCGGTACACACACTTCCCTAAGCGTCATATCGCTGTAAATCTGAGTATGATGTTAACAATTGAACTGTTTTATGTGCTTATTTCGATGGCTAACCCAGTGCAGAATCACCAGTGAGGTCTACCGATGTTGATGGGGTCACTAAACTTCCAGCGTTTTGGGTATGAAAAGCCATAAATAGCCACGATTAATTTCCAATTGCTTAAAATATTTCACAAATTATAATGACACCCCATTTGAAATTTTACCGTAGCGAATTTCTTAAGAGCTGTTTTGCGCCATTCGAAACATTTCTTTTTCAAGGGAAAGCAAACCATTCTAAATATAAAGCTGATTTTGTTCAAGAATGTTTTCGACCGATATAATTTATGGCTTGCTTTCAAATTCATGCAGGGGTTATTTTACTTTCATTTTAAGACGGTTGAACCTCACTCATAAAGTATTCAATGCTTATGCATTGACCCATCAGCACAGAGCCCCATTCAGCTTCTGTGTTGTGTGCTTTGTACAGGTTGAAGCTGATGTATCGCATATTCCGGGCAATGCGAGCATTTGCGATAGTGTCAAGGAAGCGACAGGTGACGGAAACACCGGCGGCAGTGACATTGGCGGCAAAAACGGAGGAGGAGATGAAGCAGATGGGGCGCGCAGCGGCCCACGACCGACGACGCCTGTTGAGGCGGGTGCTGCGGGCCTGGATCCGTCGGGCCCGCGGACTTCGTCTGGCTCTCCATCAGCAGAGCGTTGTCACCTTTCACACCCGACGGACTCTCCTCCAACGCGCTCTACGCGCTTGGCTTAACTTTTGCGCTTGCCGAACCTCCATCCACATCGCCGTCGCGCACTTTGAGGTACACCTATTTTCTTTGTCCAAAGCGCAACAATGCATTATTGGGTTCCACAAAAGTGTGGTCCATACATCCAACATTGCAGTGGCAGATTTAAAAATGGTATTGCTTACACAGATGAGTGATGCATTTTTGATGGTTTGGCAATTTGAAGCGTAAGCGCAGTGATTTAAGCTAATTCTACCCACCCCGTAAATAATCCGCGGTCGCCTCAGCGCTACGTCGTTTTCTTAACTTAGTAATCTTTTTCCACCTTGGGATCCTACACATACGTGATTTCATTCGCTTTCAATATTTCCGGCTCGGAGTATCCCAGAGAATGCTCACAAAAGTTTTTCTTTTAAAAAATGTACTTTGAGGATTATAAACGAATAGTAAACGCAAATTGTGCAAAGGTTGAGGAAATGAATTTGGCTGGATGAATTCCAGTTTCCCCTTTTGCTGAACCATTTTGGACAAGTTTTTATCACTGTACTATATTATTCGTAGTATCAAATCTCTTGAATATCAGCATGCTTTTTTGTAAAAAAAGTCCCTCTGTTGACGACCCTTTTTTATCGAAAATAGTTTGATAATGGAAATGCTTTGCATGAGTTACTATGACATGATATTGCTGTAAGAATGTCAGGAGACCCTCCCAAAGTTGATCCACTCGTTCGGAGTTAGTGTGTTATAATGATTAGGCGACAAAGGACACGAGGCTATGTCGTACTGCCCTTCGACACTGGAGATCGGTGGTGAGCAGGCAGAAAAGAATGTATGAGTGTTACTACAGCGTCCGCGCGCTGCATCAGAGGCACCTGATGGGTCGGGTGCTGAGGCGTTGGCGCCACCACGCTCACGTCAAGGCTACCGCCACGAGGATTGCCGAGGCCATGACCCGACGTGGTCACAAACGTCTCCTTCGTAAGGTTAGTCAGTCTGTTCTCCTCTCCATCCCATTTCTCCCCTTTTATGACCACGCCTTTCTTTCTTGTTCCTTCCATGAAGCAATATTAATTTCAGTCGGACTCAGGAGGAATTTTAAGTACAAACGCGATCGCTAACACAGTTGCATGAAATTTCATAGAGGCAGATGGAACGGCTGATCTCGCGTGGATCGTGCAAGGAGCTTTTCTAAGCTTAATTTTCATTAATAGGAGCGTTGAATGCACCATTTAATTGTTTCATGCTTTTCAAGGCCAGTATCATATAGGTTATTATCTCCGCTTGCATGAAGTTTCTGTGCATAGGTTAAGCCATTCGAACTTACGTATTTGGTTATTAATGGTATTGCATGCTATCAAAAGTGAACAAGTCTGAGATTTCGAATCCAGATCTTGGTTTTGCGAGCAGCATATTAAAGCATCGTTGGTCGCCCTATTGATTATTCTAGAAAAAAAAACATTTTCTTTTCAGAGTTATCACTTTTAAATAGTGGTACATGTTTTCTAACATGCCTTATTAGTTGTAAATAGTGAAACTTGCTAATATTGTGTGCAATGGGTATGCAACGGAGATAAGTACTTGTCTTACAAACAACCATTTTTTTGCGTCAGCCACTGGTTCCTTGTCCGTCCAGGTCCTCGTGCGTTGGCGCTCGATGAGACACGAGTTGAGAAGGGAGCGGCTGGAGGTGGAGGAGGCTGTGAGGCAGCACTGGCGGCGCGCGGCGAGACCCTTCCTTTGCATAGTGTTCCAGCGCTGGCGCAATGAGATGCGCGTCAGCCAGCGCTACGAGTTCTCCGCACAGGCTTCGCAGCGCCGCATTCTTGCCTCCGCCCTCCGCACTTGGCGTCACCGATTGATTGAGGCACACGAGAGGAACATCCTCCTCGAGCAGGCGTACTGCTTCCGCAACATGCATCTCCGAGTGAGTGACCAATTCTTTTTTCATTGCCTTTAAAGTAGAGTAAACTATATTTTTCGTAGGCTATGCAAAAGCATGTGAACCTTGTGTCACTTCTTTACTAGGGATATACTCAGGCTCTTTTTTGGAATCAGCAATCCAAAATAGGGAGATATCGCAATGAAGGATGAGAACTGATTCACATCGCGCTTTATTTTAAATTGAAAGTTGCATAAAGTAGGGAGTGCGTAGGCGAATAAAAGGAAAGAGTGGGCAGTGCTTATTGGTATTTGTGGAAAAGTTCCTATCAATTTATTCATGGTATAGAAAAATCTAATGATGTACGGTTTTACCGAGCCGCAAAGAGGTTTTTCAGCTTTCATTTTGTAACAAGCTAGAGGACAATCTGATTAGGTTCAGTGAGACTGATTTAAGTTATTTGAGTTTTATCCAAGGATTGCTAAAATGAAATGTATTGATCCAGTTAATCCAACTTAGTAAGCTCTTTTCCAGAGTATCAAAGTAAAATCAACCATCACAGATATCCCTATGCTTTATCATTTCAATAGGACACAAATTGTCATTATTTTGGGCTGCAGCTAAAAAATGGCAAATGTAATTGTCATCGGACTATGAAAACCCTAGATTTATTTACTGCTTTAAGCCCAATCCATCTGTTTGCGACAGGATGTGGTGCAGCCACTTTTCATAAACTGATAAGGGGCACATGTTGCATGTTTGTGCCGTCGGGTTCAGACGGGAAGATTGAGGCTCCACTTATAGGTGATGCTGGCAGTGAACGTATTACTCAGTTGGATGTGTGCTTGATTGGAATGGACGGATGATCGTATGCATTGATTTTGTCAGGTATACTACTTTGCTCGATGGGTAGAGGCGCAGAAGGAGGTGCAACGTGTGCGATCACTGGAGAAGGTGGCGCTATGGCATTGGGCGCTGACCCTGCAGGCGAGAGCGTGGAGGGCCTGGACAGTATACCTCACAGCGGTGCGAGCCGTCCATATCCGACGGCAGAGAGCCTTCCAACGCTTCTCAGAGCGTCTCGCTAAAAACGCCATCGGACTTTGGCTTGGAGCCGCCTTCGGCGTCCAGCAAACTGCTCTAGATAGAGAGTCTCCTTGGGTGAGTACAACTTCTGTCCGACTGGGCATTTTCTACAGGTAGTGCAGAGTAGTAGTTTTAATGCGATTTATTATCCCACTCTAGACAGTCTAAGCAACACGCAATTTTATTGTCGGGATTTAAGGGCATTGACAAGTTAGATGCCGATCGCACCCGATGGTTGAAATTTGCTTCCAGGTAGAGTGGAAATTGCTGAGTTTAAGTGAAAACAGTCAAGCTCTTGTTTACTCACTTTTATCAACAAGCTATGTAAAAGATGCAATTTCTTTGCAGAACAAAGGAATATTGCGTTTCTCTTATCTATGGTGTGGTGCAATGCCCCTTGAAAAACGGGCACCTCGGTCTTTGAAAAAATTTGAACCATTAAATGCTGAAGGTGTTGGCTACAAAGGGATACAGACTACGGATCCCCCCAACGTTACGGTCTTAAATACGTCCGAGAATTTTAAAAGTAGCAAATGTTCAAGTCGACTTCAACCCAAAGTACCGGGTTTCCTACTGGACACACTACAAATACGCAAGGTGTCCGATGTGGTGAGATGGTATAAAGTTATGAAAACTTCCTAGGAGTCTTGCAATATGAGTAAAGAAGATGACTTTATGGGAGTAAGTTATTTAAAGAACTTAGGCGCCGAAAGACTGGCTTCTGGCGAGTTCTCATCTGATCTTGCCAAAGAATTCACAGACGCTTGTGGAGAACATCCAAGTAATCACCTTAGTAAAGATTTTAATACTCATTAGGTTTTTCGCTAAACCGTTTCAACGAGAAGTCAGTTGACGTAGCAGATAAATTTGCCAAGCTGTTGTCATTGTTAGCTGCAGAAAGGCATGTGGGTTTTGTCAAGTAATAGGCTTCCTAGAGAGCTCAGTACGCGAATTGCAACTCTTCTCACTTTTGAGGCTGCAAATACTTCCAATCATTTGGTTGAGGAAGTGGATCATGAATTAGAGAGGGTAATTCTCCTGGTTTTTGCGTGTCTCCTCCAACTGCTGGCTGTTCAATTCTTCTCATGGTTTCAGGCAAGACGTGATCAGTCAGATGTTCAATGTCAGATTCGGGAACTTCGATGGCAATGCGCATCTTTGTTAACATACATAAATGATATGCTGGTCTAATCTCTGGTTCTGTTGTTTTGGTTGTGGTCTTTCTTTTGTGAAATTTGTTTTATTGTGCTAAATATATTTAACAACGCCGGAAGTTCGACTTGAAAGCTGGCGTCTATCGTTAATGGCGCCTATTCGTTTGCAGTTTTTGCACGCAAATGCGGGTATCTGCTTTATTACTTTTCAAGCCTTATTTTACTATTTAGATGAGCTATAGTCATTTACTTACCTCGAGTATAACATTGTGCCCTATTTTCTTGTGTGGAATCAAATATGAATAAAGGGTTTTGCTTCATTGCTTTTATTTTTTTGCGTTGGTGTTCTTGTGTTCCATTAGCTACCTTGAATATTCACTTGTTTTAGATGTCTGGCATAAGCCCCGATATTGCAATCCCATACCAAGGCGGACCTAGAATGATAGCATTAGGATATCCTCAGTCTTTGTTCAATGACAGTTCTCGAATGCCAAATGAAGTGCATGGCAGCAACTTGCCCTTACCAAAGGAACAGTATGCTTCAAGTGATCTCTTATCTTTGTCTTGGCTCCAGAAGGGAGACATAATAAAGATAACTCCCCTTGATAATGAGGAGGAGTTCATACGTGATGAGAGATACTCCACCGTTAAAATGGTGGAAAACGGCCAGGCGTACAAGATTCATGAGCCAAGTAACCCATTTTCGAACCCAATAGCCAGGACATTTTCGCTCTCAACGAATTCTGCTGCAATGCGCTCTTCGTATGCTAGTTCACATTATTCGAATGCATATGGTGAGAATCTAGCAAAGCCGTTGTACAGCTATACGCACCTTATTTTCATGGCCATTGAATCAACCCCAACCAAGTGCATGACTGTTAATCAAATATACAACTGGTGTGAAACCAACTTTCCATTTTTCAAACATTCTGCAACTGGCTGGAAAAATTCGTTACGTCACAACCTTTCGATAAACAAATCCTTTAAGCGATTGCCTCGCGATGGTCGTGTAAGTTTTCTTTTTCTATTTAATAATTTTGTAAGTTTCCGCAATATTTATCCTAGTACTTATGCTTTAGGCTGACAACCTTGAAAGATTTGTGCCTTCTAACCGGACTCTATTTTACGGATCATCCGTCTATTTTGATGAGATGGTTTCTTGCGAGGTGATCTAGTTCTGCCTAACTGTCAGAAATTAGCACTGCACCATTCTTAAAAATGCATATATCGTTAAACCAAGCTTGTTTATAGTTACTACCAACGCAGCACTTTTTGGAGGTTAATCATTTCACACTTCGATGTTGTGATGTGGAGAAAATATTATCTTCTGGACTATTTTTGAAACTGCATTATCTGTTAACTCTAGGGCCCGGGTCGTGGGGCTTTTTGGGCAATTGAGCCGCGTGAACGTCCCAACTTACTGGATGCAGTCAAGCGAAACCCCTTCACTTTGGGTATACCTCGAGAAAGATCTGTTGTCAGACCCATCACCATTAGCCCGATTCAGCCCTTTACGGCGATCAACTCTGATGTCTCAAAGGTGAATTTCACCGAGTTCACAAGTGAATGTGCGATCAAGTCAAATGGGGCTAGTAACCTAATTATTTCCAATCGCGTTCTCGATGGCAACGGCTCATTTGGTTTAGTCGATTCAGGTGATAATTCAATGAATAAAAATACAGTGACAACATACCAAACCACGCCTTCAGAGAATCTGTGCTCCAATTTATCAGCACAAATGACTCACAGCTACTTGCCCCTTGCCATCTCAAAAGCCGAAAGTCCTGTTTCTCAGGGAACGGTTCAATCTAGTGCTTATGCATTCGAACCCTGGCCCGCTGAAGAGGAAGAAAAGTATCAGGAGATGATGCGCCTCCTCTTGGATGGGTGTAATGCTGAAGCATCGTGCGACTCGGTTGTCGGTAACGGGTGAGCAATTTAATGGCAAACAGTGATTTGCAATCTATTTATCGGGTATTTTAACACGTGAATATTCCAATTGCCTAACCCAACTAAAGATCTGACTTTTTCTTCCACAGAACCGCTACACCTAATGGCATCGGCACCGGTAAGTTAATAAAACCTTAAACTCAGTTCCACCATTCTAAGTACCTGAATTGTTTACTGGTCTTAGAAAATAATACTGAGGTAAGCATTTATGTTTACACGGCATTTACGCCGGACACTAAAATAATTGTTTATTGTGTCGAACTGAGGATGAGTTTTGGGTTTGTCGGCCATCTACACTTTCTAAAGCAAGTACTTTTTAGTTGCACATGTTAACCACCCACCTTTGGCACTGAGCGAGGATGGACACTTCCATGCGTCCGCTTAAAGCTACGAAGTGCACCATGTGTACTGTCAATTTATTTTTTGCCCTGATTTTCTATAATGCCTAAACTCTCCTTCCACTAACCAAATGCTTTGTAACTTAGATACTCCGACAAAACCGAAGAAGGAAACAAAGCAGCGAAGAAAATCTTCATTGAATCCCACAAACGAGAGTAAGCTTAGGTGTATTCTTGAATAAATATTGGCTTGGGTTTTGTATTCGAACTGACGGCGGATTTCATTGTCACTGGATTCTAAAACCACATGTATTAGTTGCTTACATGATCAACCGACCCTGACTCCTTAGTCAGATATTAACGTGTATTTATATTCAAGGATTGCTAATTGGGAAATAACTTCATTTGTAAGAAAACTGGCATATATTATCAATTCTGTTTTGATATGCAGACGAACCCTTGATAACTTTAGACATGTGTAATCAGTGTAAAGAGAATGCGGCGTCTACTTGCCGTTCATGCAGTTTGCGAATGTGGAATCTGCACCACACCGCATCGACAATGACAGCAATCTCTACTCCTATTGACGCTGCACGTGTGCTGTCCCACGTAAATAAGCCTGGTACCTACGGAGGCAACTCGGCTCTGGATCAGCTGTTGGATGCACTAGACGAGGACCAAGAGGCGCCGCCTCTCCACTGGCATAAACAAGTTCAGCCTGCCGGCGAAGTCTACATTACTCCGGCCCCTTATCTCGACCACGAGTATTGCCACTGTCAAAAGCACATTCGTCCCATCGCAGAAACTTGCATTATTGACGCTGTCAATTCCCGTCTGAGACAGGAGAAGCTGCATCTATTGCGCGGACTTGTCGACCCTCGGGCTGGTCTCTCTTTCGATGCGGACTCTATGTCCGTGGATACAGTTGAGGAAGACTTTGAACGTCCTACCGAAAGCTCCGGGGGAGCAGAGGAAGGTGACTATGACGATAACTCCCCTCCCTTATACGTAAGGCAGACTAAGCGACATGCCAGGCAGATCAAAGGTATTTCAGGTTCGCGAAAACGCCGTGCAAAGGGCCGTGAGAACTACACTCCTATGCCAAAGGTACTAGCTGCATTGCTTCAGCTTTAAAGAAGTCCATATGGGTTAGGGCAGTAGCTAAGGTCGGCGTTTTTCTTCAAATGCTCACTCTTTCTTTTTAGATCGCTAAGCGGTCTTCAGTTTCTAATCGGGCCCTAAAACGATCCTATGACGAAATTGCTATTGAGGATTACGCTGCATTGTGCTACACGGATGACAGTGACATTTACATGGACAATGGTTATTATGACCCGCCTCCATACACGGGACATTATCAAAGACGAGCTCATTTTAGTTCGGAGAACAATGAAGAGCTCTGTGGATTAAATGAACTAGAAGTGCACGAAAGGCGTTTCAAGCGTCGGTTCCCCTACAATCCCCGTGTTGTTTACACGAGCTCATCGAGAATGGGTGAAGGCGGATTGCAGATTCCGTTTTCCACTTCTTTCTCAACTACGCGCAAGCGAAGGTTAGGTGAACCCGCTAAATCTCGAGATGAGCAGCGTTTGAAAAAGACGATTGGTGCTGATGAGACGCCCGAGGTCGCTGATCTACTTGCCAATGATGCCGAAGGTGTGAAGTCAAAGTGCGTTCATTTTACACTCACTCCCATTCTTCAATTGTCCAATTGAACTCTCGGCGCTAGCTATTACTTGCTACCTCCATATTATCCCGTTAACATCCCAAATTTCTTTTTCTCACTTAATCACGGTCTTTAGCGCGTTGAATACAAGATTTCCAAAATTTCATTAGCTTCACTAGTCACCCTTTTTAACCAAGTCATGATCGCAGCATTGGCTGATTTCAAAATATTTATAAGATAACTGATAAACCAACTTTTATTTCTACGAAGTCTAGGTTGAGTCGAATAGGTTTTGTATGTACAGTATCAATTACAACAGTAATGAATTTGATTAGCTTGAACAGCTTCAGTTTTCATGGTTCGAACACAACTTCTGACCTACTTTCTTGCATCTTACTCGTGAGAGTATGACGTTTAGATCGGAACGACTTTCGCTTCTCAAGTCCCATCTGAAAAAAATTGGAAGTTGATCTGATAGTCATGCTAAAAATCAAATGCCACTTCTGATGACATCAGAATTTCAGTCATGAATCGACGGCTTTTTGCCACTGCAACACAATATTCAATCTGTAATTACTCATTTGATACATTATTTCTTTTAACAAATTGCTGTAAAATCTGGTACGGTACTTTTTGTGGTGGCAGGATGAAATTGTACACTCTGTTATTGTTTACCTCTTGTATTTGGCGTTTAAAATGTCCCACCAGCCTATTGTTATGGACTTATTTGGTCGTATTTTTCTTACCTAAAGTTCCTAGGAGCGAACACTCAATCACCTAGGCAGGAAAAACCTTATGGGTATCGGCTGAATAAAGAATTCCAAGGCGCAGTCCGATCTCGTGAGTACGCACTCAAACCAATTCTCCAAAGGCTCACTGGTCGCTTCCTCAGTTTCACTTTAGGCTTCGCCCACGCAGCTTGAAGTGAAATGGATTCTCGCCAAGAAATCCATCTCCCGAAGTGCTGTATATTGCCTCGATTTTCCTATTCTAGGCTCATCTCAGATCCTTGTATTCTCATTTCCCCCTCCTTTCTGTCAGTGCCCCCGTTTTCAATGAAGATCTTTTGAGCTTATTCGGACTTTGTCGGCCGCTGTTTTATTTTCATTGGTGGCGAAGTAACATTTTTGTAATCGTAGTTTCTGTTCAGAGCCACCTGTATTTATATTTCAAGGCAGTCGCTGCAAGTGGCCAGTTTGCATTGAACAAAGTCGTTAACAAGGTCCTTTCAAATTGTCCCCAATTTGACCCTCTTGTAATCTTTACTCCAAAGTGCGTCTCAGAAGTAGACTTGATGCCCTCGTCGGTTATGTCGATCATTCGCATTTTCGCGCAGTTGCGGAGTTCGGATATCAGCTGATGAGAGAGGAGGTGGGCGCCTTTTGTTTGTGTATAGCGTGGTTCTGACTGATTCTGTGTACCTACTAGTATTACCTTGTGCTTTGTTACTCTACCTTATTGTGCTATCTGATCACCTCGCAGTGGGTGATTACGAAATTTGATTATTACATGTAAAAATAAACAAACTGTTAGGTGATTACCGTTTTTTTGTATCCGAGTGGGAACGGTGATGGGTCTGTCTGGTGAAGCGGTGGACTACTCGGCTGATTAAATGGGCCGTGTGAAGGGTTGGAGACGCTCCGCCAGCGAGTGGACCATTGTCGTACGGGCAGTGTGGAGTTTTACGCAGTCCGATCCACCATAATGCCCATTCAGAGGTGGATGGGGTAAGTGGACGTGATGAGCGCTGGACACAACCGCGGCAGACTGCGTGATCTCTGATCACTGCATTCAGCATGGGGAGGCTGGTCGGTGATTTTGCATTGATCTATATGTGTAGTCGGGGAGACTCAAGATAAACGCTGAGGTAGACCATCTATTTATTGTCTTCAAGACAAGGGGGTGGTGTCACGACGGTACAAAGTCGTATCTGACAGATGAGAGGGTCTGGACCCTGGTGGTTGGGCTCAGGTGTGCCGAAGTAGAGGGGTAACGTTATGGCATACTTCACGGTGTGCTTACGGACTGTAGACCATGCTACGCAAGTGCAGCAAATTTTCATACATTCTCATTGTATTTCAAATGCAGTTACCTCAATGAAAACCATCGACGCATGCATACCTCCGTCTTACACTTTGAGAAGTAGCAACGCATTGCAAGTGTTTATCAATTTATCGTATGAAAACGAATATCAACTAAAAACACCCTAAATCTGAAGGTTGGAAGGGATTAAATGCGCCTACAAATATGTGGGAAGAAATATCCTGAAAGTGATATCGAGCGCGTTAAAAACGGCTTATCATCTCAATGACTTGCTTAACAATATCGCTATAGCATTTCAGCCGGTAAGCGCTTCTTTTCTACCACTGAGCACTGAACAGGTCGTGCACCCCTGAAGCCTTGGGCTGGAGTCGTCGTTGTCAAAAAGCCGGAAACGTAGTCGGGAGGACCAAATGCCTATATCGTCCTTCAGAATATGCTTGATTTTTATGGGACCTACGTGCCAAAATATCCGCCACTAAATCTGAAGCGTCTAAGCCGCGAAGAAGACATCAAGCGGTCTGATGCTAGAAAGTCGAGAAATTCCGCACTCGCTGATTGAGCTCTACGATAGCAAAGGTTTTATGAGACATTTACTTGCAGCACTAATTTTTTAGGCCAAACCCCACTTGAACAGAACATGCTTTTTTTAATAAAAAGCAACATTGTGTTTGAAAGGTATGTGATCTTTAGGAATATACACACGGATGGAGCAAGCGGTGGCTAGTGATGTTCCCCAGCGTGGGGAGACCACAACTTGAAGGTAAGATCGTGGGACGCAGAGGCAATGAGTTTTTTATCCGGCGAGATATCTGCGTAGACACAGCGTCCTGAGTGGCCCTCCAGCGTTCGGATCGGCGACCACAAGGGGTGACCCCACAACTTGATCGTCTTATCAAAGGAACTCGTCACTAAGTAATTATGACTTCCCGCTACAACATATGCAAGTGCAAATACGGTTAATAGCTCATTAATAAAAACACTGGGATTAGCACCAGCACCACGGAATTTAATTTAGCAATGCGAAAAAAGCATTCATTCAAAAATTTCAGCCAATTGTCAACTGTCGGAACCACTACCCGGAGTAGAGACGAAAGCATAAAACTAAGGTATCTACGCGCTGGAAACTTTTTTGATGCTCTGACCAATTCAGTGACTATTAAGCGTACCAATCGGGTCCTAACGCCTAAAATGAGGTCTTGTAAATAGATATAATGCAGGGAGTAGCACGTACGTTCGAATTTTACCGAGCTGACAACACTGGTGTGCGCAGGGATGACATATATTGTCTGCTGTTGGCGCAGGTCCCAAATGCGAACACAATTTTCGGCGGAGGAAGAAGCGGCGTGGTAGCCGTTGGCGGCGATATCGACGCCTAGCATCTCCTCCAAATGGCCCTCGAGAAACATGATGCACCGGCCGGTGCGCAAATCCCACACACGCCCGTAGCTATCTAGACCGGCAGTGAGGGCCAGCGAGCCATCGGGGTGGAAGGCGATGTCATAGACGGGTTTTGAGTGGCCTTCCTGGTGGAGGATCTCGACGCACACCTCCAGGTCCCACAGGCGCCAAGAGAAGTCGAAACAAGTCGTACCCAAAAAGCGACCCGAGGGGTGGAAAGCGATTCGTGAGACGCGGTAAGGCGCGTGACCCTCGATGTCCGCCAGCGGCTCCTCGTTGTCTAAGCTCCACAGCTTCACACTCCCGTCCTACGAAGACATCCAGAGACCAGTGGAAGTCGTACACGGATTATTTTGAACCTCCTCAGGTTGGTAATGTTCAGATAATTGGCATATTTAGATTAAAATGAAACTTGTGAAGAAGGTTTGGGTACAAAATATTCGCTTATTCCTTAACCAGTCTTGACAGAATCATGCCACCTCGGTTCATTAGAACTTTGCACTCTTTACTTGAACTAAAACGACCCAGTTGTCCACGCACGAAATTTAAAGAATGGATAAAAAAGATATTGGGAAGGCCTTATCGAGAACTGAATAAGTACACTAGGTGAGTTGCACTATACCACTGATACATTGCAAGTATAAAAATGTGCAATGCACGAACTATGAGAAGTATTACTGATTTCAAAAGACCATCTAACAACAAATAATTTTGATATGCATTTAAAAGGCCTAAAATAGCTCCGTTCTTCACGGACAAGCCATTCTTTCAAAAGAGCTCAAACAATGTTCACTTTTAAGCCAAGGATAAATAGCGATTTATGGAATTTCTTCAAATTTCACTCAAATTATTCTAAAACATTAAAAAGTCAAGAGACTATCACAAAAAGTTCCCTCCTCCTACTCAAAAAAAACGACGAATAATGTAATGGAAACAAGCAATGAAAGAATGTGCCCACCACTTAGCCCAGCTTGTATGCAGGATATGTGGTGACATAACCAGAGTGAGGAGACGCCTACCTGCGCAGAGCTGGCGAGAGCAATTTGGAGGTTGGGTTGAAGGCGGGCCTGAGGGTGCCAGGCGATGCAACAGGCGCCTGACTGGTGGCCGCGTAGGTTCATCTGCAGCTCACAATTTGGCACCAACCAGAGGCGACACAGACCACTCAGAGACGTGGTCGCCAGCATCTCCCCGTCCGGCGAGAATTGGCAACAAGTCAGAGGCCGCGTGTCACCCACCTGACTGCACACAAGTGCCGTGCTCTGCGAACACCAAAAAGAAGCGAGTGTTGCGTTTTTGCTAGTGTGGAGATGAAACGGAATATCTGACTAATCTCTCCATTCTCTCAAATGAGTTGCATAAAACTGCTAAATTGATTCTGTTACAACTCTATCGAACTAGCAAATTTCGATAAACCATCCAAAGGCGATAACAACCATTGGTAAATGATATAGTGAAAGTCAATTAAGGATGAAATATTCTAAAAAGTGAATAACGACGGCAACCAGTCTATCCTTTCACAAGGCGCAAAGATGACAAAAAGAAAGCGTGTTCCTGTGAGACCGAAGATGAAAAAGTTGGGGAAAAATTGTTATCGTTTGTTAACACGTGAGATAATGAAATCTCAAAATAATAAAGAAGAGTGGGAGAGAATAATGCATATCATGGTAAAATAATTAGTGACAAAGTTCAAATCAATTCAATGGTTCGAGATCAAATGAAGGCTGTTTGTTTTTAGACAATCAGTCGTACTTCCGGTCTAACAAAACAAAGTGCGAACACTTGCTCCAAAGACATCAACAATTCAGCATGTTTAAGCAAACAAGACCGACAGTTGCACAATTTCCATTCGATCGACAATGAAAAGGCCGCTGCCCACCCAGACATACGACTGCATCCAAAACGCTGTTTATGGTAGCTTGTAATACAAGATTTTACATATTAGGTGGAACGTATACAAGAATGAGTGGTCGAAATATACAATAGAGTACACTAGCGTCATCTCGCAGCAGAACAGATCAATGCACACCACGATGCTACTGCTTTCGCTTTCACCAAATTCACACGGACGGCTGCAGCACGTAATGTGGAGTGTTCGACGACGATAGTCAAAAAGGAATTCCACCAAAAATGAAGAGGAAATACGGAAGGAAGAACATACCCGAAGGATTTTTAGGTATTCCTGATAGCGAGCCTTGCGTTGGGGCTCAGGCGTGGAAGCATAGTAACGCCTGGACCGTTCGAGACGTTGTTTGGCCTGAGCTAAGGAGTACTTCGCAATCCACATTCGCGCCTCCGCCAGACCCTCCGGACCTTGGTGGTACCAGACCGTATTGTTCTGCCAGCAGGCGGAGACAAATAACACGCGTAAACCCCACGCACATAGAACACCACAAGGGAGCGAAAAGAACGAGGCTTTTGCTTCTAATTGGAGTGGCTTACGTCACGAGCTGCCAATGTGGAGTTTTTTGCGTCGGAAACATCGAGGATGGGACGCTGAGCCGGCCCTCCGGATACTGCTAGAAACATTCGTAGACGTTCCCGCCTGTCGGCTCCATCTTCGCCAAACAGACCTAAGTGTAGCGTTTCATGGTCACAGATTATTAGCGTATCTCAAGGAAAGGAGAGACTATTGAGTTGTGATTCAACAGAGGTAGGTGATTAACTTGGAATGAATTTGCATTGTGAGCGTCTTGAAATGGGTACACTGAAATAGGGTATCATATGGATGAAAGTGCGATTCACCTGACCAGTTTGGACCAAACGAACAATCTTTTTCAGATTCCATTTAAACTCTATTTCATTTAAGGTTAAATTGTATGAATGGAACAATTTAGTGCCGTGATAAAAATTGACTAAAATAAGATAAGAAATTAAAAGTCAACAATCAGGTAAATGCCATATCATGCTGAGTAATGCGAATTCCAAACCGCCATACGGCATCAGCCAAATTACGTAAAGGAATACCACTTAAATTCCACATGGCATTACTTTTGCAAGCCGGATAATTGTGCAAACGTCAAAATAAAATACTACGGGTTTTGAATTAACAAGAATCCAATTATGTCAACGTGGAAAATAACACAAATATCTAAAACTGCCCCAGTTAAGAAAGGCACTTTCATTAATGGTTCAAAATTACATGTAGTTGGGATTTTGCTCACGATTAGCTAATAAACTCAATTCTAAGACAGTATTCATGAGCTAAAAAAATTATTTTCACACCACCAACCCATGAAGAGCGAACGCATTCGCTTGAAGTTGTAGACTGTTTCATATCCGCACAAGAATTATAACAAGGCACAAATACCTACACAATCGGTGAACACACAGACGGAGACACGGAAAGGTTGAGACTAATGAAAACTGCTAACTTGCAACCAAATCTTTGATTGCATACAGTCCGTTTACCTTGTTACAAACCTAATTTTCATTTTATTTCGTTCATGACGGTAGAAACGGTCTTAAAACTACCAGACATTGTCATTGTTATGGTTACTTAAAGAGTAATTGCATTGCCTCCGAAGCCCCTCAATCATTCATCACACGCTTGGATATTCCAATGGTAGTAACATGGAAGTCATGTACATTTGACTGCTCCACGGCATCACCGTTACCTGAATTTCGCACCTGGCCGCATACAGATGGCTGCAATTCGCGATTCATTAACTCTTCTAGGTGATTAATACGAAACATACTCATCAAATAGAAAAATTAGTCGTTTGCTGGGAATGAGATAAGTACAAAGCAAAAAAGAAAGTTTATGGTGGCTCCCGGCACAGCTAGGAAATTACGAAGTTTGTATTCATTATGCCTACAGAAGTGTGGCTGAGTTCGGCTTCAGTGGATCGAACAGTGACGCAGTCTTAGCGGGTGATGAAACTTACAGATTGGTTCACCGAGTTGCCTTAAATAGTATTTCACCTCCATATCCTCGGTAGACACTTGAATTAGACGAGCCTAAAAAGGCGGAAAGTGTTGAGAAATCCACTGATACATACCTTAAATGGATTCAAATGTAAACTCGTCAGTGATATACAAAATGACACTTGGTGTAAGCTCTAAAAGTCATCAACCCATAAAATGATATCCAGAGCAATAAGCTGCAAAATTGAGAACAGTTTGGAAAAAACAGACACCTTCTTTTTTAACTCTATACTTTCGAGCGCAACAGCTTCAGCAGGCGGTAGTCTGTGCTCCAAGGGTAGGTACTGATCACCTGCCACAAAGAAAAGAATAAATTGTACAGCTGCATGCATATAGTGTGGAGTAGATTTAAGCTGATAGACTTTATAGTTCCGAAGAAAGCGTTTATATACCCGGTAAAACAAAACCTAGGAAAGACAGTAGTAAACCCAGTAATCTCACTGTGCAAATCAACGCAAAGAATGTCACACATCACCGAAACACAAGTGACCACAAATAACCCATTTAAATGGTGATTCATTTAAAAATACTAACGTGTCACAACAGTTAGTTAAAAAACATTCTAAATTTCCGAAAATGCTTTAATCAAAAGCATAAGAAGGCCAATTCCTTTCGCACCTCACTCTACTTTTTGAACGTCACCATTTCAGGAGCAAGTGTTCGTTTTACATTGTCGTCCTAAGGTAATTTTTTGCGAGAACATGGATAAGCAAGAACCTTATTACGGTAGAACTGACGCAGCATCTAGAGTGCATGATTAATGAATTAAACGCACAACCAGCAGTCGGTAATTTGAAGAGTGCCGTCTTGTAGAGATTAAGATAGGCACAAGTCAGCCAGATAGAAGTCCATTATAACCCACACGTCTTGAACTACTCTGGATGTTAGTGGACAGAAGTGAAGTGATCATGCCAAAAAAGAATTGATTGATGAAAGTCAGTTGGGTATACGAGTTAATAGAATAGATTTTATTCAGCAAATTAAACGGACGATATACGTGCCAGCCATGTTAATATGTCGGCTTTTAACGGATGATGAGAGACAAACTGAATAATTACATGCGTTGGACACAATAACAAGATACCGACTGTCGAGAAAGAGCGTACACCAAGAGATGGTGGTATAAGATTAGGCCTCCGAAGACCAGTTTGTCAATTAACTAGAGAAAACATCGACTGCAAAAACTACTGAAATGTTCAGCGAACTCACGATTGATCAGATGTGATCGTGGAGGAGACAAATTGATGTTGTCGCAAGACCCAACTACATGTCACACAAACTAAGGAATCTGGATTTGACAACTGTCGTTTGCCTGATAGACAAACGTATTCATTGAGCTTTGAACGAGATGACTGAAGTTCGACAAAGCCTAGGCATTTAACCATATTTTGACAGCTGCGAGCAACGTTTAACAACTGAACAGCCCCTTTGACAGACTCAGGGTCTACCGCTGCAGAGAGCCTTCCTGTCTGGGATAAATCGAACTTGAATAAGAAATTATCACTAGCAATTAGATAAAACCGCGAATAAATAGTGGTCAAGTGGTTCGCTTAATAACTTACTCTGAGAGACGTTGACATGACCTAACCTCTGAGCCACAGCGAAGGAACCTTCTGTTTTCTCCATGAGGATTTACCTGTAAGGCATCAACATAAAAGTGGACACCAAAAAGCACGCTGAGCACGCACACATTGTCAAGAGGAATCGATAAAAAGAAATTGAAAAATATGTAATGTATATATGAAAAGTACAGGAGTCTGAAGAGATCAATTCAATGGTGAAAAAATGTCTCTAAGGTTAAAAAAGGCGATAAAGTCCACAGCAATAATCGAGGTCAAAAACCAATAAGGGTGCGGGCTGAATCCTCTGTCTCCTCCCACATTACGAAACAGTGCTGCAACTTCGAAGAAGTGGAGGTGGTCCGTATCTCCGTGGAGGACTTCGTACGCACATTAGAGAAACACAAATGGCAAAAATAATGATCAAGAGAAGCCAAATTGCGTATAATAGGCGACTCGAGATCAGCCAGATGTCCTCCTAAAACACAAAACGCTTTGGTGCAATTAAGAAAATCAGGCTGTATATTTGAAACAAAGACTTTTATTGTAAATGTCAAAGCACTATATATGTCTACATAAATGGTTGAGAATCGAGGATAAAAAATATCCACGTATCCAATCCTAGGCGTGGCTTAAAGTGAGGAAAGTGTGGACGCCAGATTGAATTTGAAAACAAAAGGCTTCCAACAAAGCAGAAATGACCATATGGCCTGGCTTAACTTCGTACAGGTATAGCCATAACTGGATCCGATGCTATAGTAAAGCTATTTGCACAAACAAGACCTATCCAGAATGGAAATCTCGCATTAAGTACGGCAGTACCAGAGCCTTCAAAAGCACTTGAACAAAAAGCGCAAAACACTTCTTCATGATCGTTTATTAGCCACATCAAAATTACAAACAAAACAAACGAACTAGATATTCTAAAACAATTCAAGACCTTTGAGCAAATTAATGCAAACAAGTTCTGAAAAGTGGGAAGAGATGACTGAATCCCATCATTATAACTAGTATAGAGTATCTCTTAACGTTTCCAAATGACGATTATTTTTGCGTGTGAGTAACACCTGAATGGTTTAAAAACCACAAATGGGTTTCCAAAGCATGAATTTGCAGCAAGAAATAGCAAACGTGCTCCAAAACAGTAAAGTGGAGGAAAAACAATAAGCCAAAATCAACGAAACCTACCGGTGATATGGTTAATAGAAGTGGAGTTTTTACCGGAAATTGAGGCTCCCAAATGGTGTGACCCTGACAAATTTGTCGACCCACTAAGTGAAATCGCCTTTGCCACAGCAGCCGGGCCGAATTATTGGACTTTATTTGAATAATTTGTTCGCGAGTACACTGTTGATGATTGCTAAAAGGGATTAGGTTGATGTAAGGGAGCGAAAAAATAATATTATGATAAACCATAACTCAGTCAAGCACATACTGGAAGTGAGGAAACAGTTTTGTTGGCGCAGCCAAAGAAAGACAACCGTCAAAGGTATGTGTCTCACAATTTTGACCCGTACAAGGTGGTTGAGTTGGGTCAAAATCAGGAACCAGAAGAGAAACATTAATTTTCTCAAAAGCATCACTCCCTTTTTAATAAAAATGAGCATATCACACACTCACCCTACCTGTGAATCCAAGATGACTGCCACGCATTTGAGCAAACAGCGGTTTACTCTTTATTGTCGGTTTGTATGAGTAAATTATACCAAGTCGAAAGTTGCGAGAGAAAACTTGATCCGACTTTCTGTAGTTCAAACTATCAAGATTGAGCAAAAAGGCGTCATTTAGCTGAAACTGTTTTGGGAAGCTCGTCCAAGGTTCGCTGCAGAATTCGAGTTCCGAAAAGGTATGTAGCATTTTAGCAGCATTCTAAAAAAAATGAAAAGTGCCAAGAAGACCAAACCGTCCTAACGTCCGAATCGGGAATCGACTTTTCTGTATGAAATCTAATCAAGGCACTCGAAAGGAATGTCACACAGAGCAACAATACGCTCAAAAACAGAGCAATAGGCGGTCTTGATCGGATTTTGCGGAATGCAAGGCACATCTAGAAGGGAAGTTAGCGTGAAATGTTGAAAAAGAATGGGTTAATAAAGGAACACACATGATGCACCAGTTTATTGCAATGCCACAAAAATATGATAACACAAGGACTCGAAGTTGGGAAACAAAATTAAGACTGGCTACAATTAGCATATAGTTGGTGAATCTGACGAACACAATTCAAAGTTACTGAAAAACCACAACCCTTTTCAGCTACATTTATGAGTATAACGCGTTTCCCGTAAATTTTTCCACATTCTTCCCGGGTAACCAGATCCAATATATCGCCTTCGTCAAGTTTGCGACTCTTTTTCAGAAGTTTTTCTTTGTTGAGGCGAAACTTCTGGTTATAAAAAGCCTTTTCAAAGTCGAACTGAGTCATATTGAGACCCTTTCTTGCAACTTTATCAAATCTTACTGATGGTACACATACGGTAATAACCTTTCCTAGAGAGAAGGAGGTGGACTCAGTGGAGAAATAGCTCGAGGAGCGGGTAGCATAAGCTGTGATTAAAAACTTAGAAGGCACGAGAGATTGAAAAACAACAGCCTGCAGCCAAAGCCGCAGCATGCGACCGAGGCACCTTACCAACTGATAGTCCATTGGGAACGAAGGCAGTTACAAGGTTGGACAGGTTTTGAGAGCCTTGAGAATGGCCTTGTGAATTTGCAGGTAGTGATTAAATATCGGTATTCAAAATAAACTTTTTGTCCAAAAATCTTAATGCAAAAAGCAAAATCCTTTAAATTATTAGATAGTGAGCCAAGCTCACTGCACCGTAACAAATTCGACTATCTGATTTTGATCAGGTCATTTGAATATGTAGAAGTTTGTCAAATGTAACAAGAAATATATAAAAAGTGGCAAATTCATCCGTTGGTATCTTGACTAAAAAACGTAAATGAATCAACACGCTCTTGTTAGTAATTATTTAGTGAACACAAAGGATGCCTCGGATGGTCAAAGGCTTACCCATTTCTTCCTGAAAATGCCGCGTAAGGGAAGACTCGACCTGCATAAGCATACACTTTTATTGCGATTAAAATATGCAGGAGTGAATACTGATAACATTAACCTGGATATCGATAATTACAACCAATTGCAAATCAACGGAAATGTTCATTGGTATTTGTGATGCTCTTAAATTCTTTCATTTGAACGTGTGCCCATACGAGCCTTCGGTCTTCTGTGTGTAACGGATTTAAAGGAAGATGATATCTATAGAATTTCAGTCCTTGTGTGCCCTAGTAAGGACTGCTCATGCATATTCCTCTCTCTAATGATGATGCCTCAGTGACAGCAGTAAGCGAGGCTAACTAGAATAGAACAATCCAGATTTTATTGCCTGGTTAGCACTTTTAGACGGTATCAAAGGGAGGATTTTGCAGGCAAGACTAAGTCCTCAAAGACTGACTATAAAGAAGTTTAAACAAAGTCTATCTTTGCTTATCAGTTACTTCTATTTCTGTTCGATAATTGCCAGTGGCTAGATGTCAGCTCTCAGAGAATCGAGAACGAACCCAAAAGTGGAAAAATATAACCTTACAAATGAAAAACTCATCCACACGCCTCTTTGAGGCAATGTTACTTTGAAAGGCAGTTGACACGCAGAATATGCTTGCCAAAAAACCCCGACAAGCCCATGCCACTTCCGAATTAGTTACCCTCAGACAGTTCTCCTGGCGGGACCCAATATTCAGATATTCCGACTAGAACCACCGTGTGAACTACCACTAGTAGAGGATACTGCTTCCTTGTTGCGAAATCAATGCATCATCTCTGGGTCAGTCTCACGGATAGTCGCAGTTTACTCGTAGACCTGTTGCTGCCGAAGTGGAAGTGTGACGTTGTTAAGGGAGGCGCTGGGGGTCACTGTTAAAGATAGGGGTTATGTGGTAAGTTGGCATTGGTTTTAACGCTAGATTTAACCACGGGGTACTTACGTCTTAGCAAATCGTACTTCTTCTTGGTAGCATGGTCGGATGTTAGCCGACAAGAAACTTTCATGTTTTCGTGGTGCTGTAACTCGATAGTTTTACTGTCACTTGTAAGACACTGCGGTTCAGGACGATTACTTGGCTCAACAACACAGCTAAAACACGGAATTGAGCGGCAAAGTGGTATGGGTATGAAACTGCACTTACCTTGTTGATCGTGGCTCTTCAATGACATACCAATGTACTGGAGCAAACAGGAAAGTTACGGCCATGTGAGCAAGTCAGTCTCACACGTGGTAACAGCAGTAATTTAAATTGAGTGGCAAATTGTAGTATGAACAAGAGTAGTAAAACTGAAAAAGGATACTTGCCGCGCAAAAATGGGCATTAATTACTGTCAGCAGTTGGGACTTTCATGCGTTCGAAGGAGGGTAACAGCAGAACTGCCATTAGTCGTGACATCCCAACGAACCCAGTTGTCGTATGTTCCTTCTCAGGGCGCAATTAACTGGCCGCACGGCTACTTCCCAACGATCCCATCCAGAGATGTGCCTTTTATGATTCCTTCTGGACCACATTCTCCACCGGGCCTAAGCGTCGCCTAAAAGGACTAGATCACCGACGCCCTCTGCGTCCAATAGGAACCCTTTTGCAGTTCGAGCAATTATTTCTTCAGTTACTGGCTCCAGAACGTATTCATAAGGTACTCCCCCCGCTACAATCTTTTGATCGGGCTTAGGCTCGCCTCACCCTTCAATCCTCACTTGACAAGGTTACAGAATACCTTGAGTTATTAAACTTGAAGGAGCGAAACTTCTTAACTCCATCGAGTATCGTTGAGAATTTGTTTAGGCAATCCTGCTTTGCCACTGAATGGCTTTAGTTCCCACTTAAACCAACTGTGGTGTGTATGCATATCTGCTTGTTGCACTTCAGCAGACCTCAAGTAGTTTTTCAATCCCAACACGGACATGGTTTTACACCTCGGTCATAACTGCGAATGGAGTCAACGAAGCCAATCAATTTGCTACAGCATATGCCGTGGAAATTCTAGGCTGTGGAACGACGAATCACTCGGAGGTAGCCTAAGTTTTTAACTCCAGGATCCATGATCCTGCATTTTGTGCTTGGAATTCACATCAAAAAGTGTTTGAGACCCGTATGATCTTGTGCTTAATTTAAGCTGTTGGCAACTTCTTACACAAAGCCTGTAGTTTATTTTCTAATAAAATGCAACAGAATGAGCGAGGCCGTGCAGTAGTTCTTTAAAGAAACAGACATGAAGGGCTCTTCTTCTAAGAAAACGTTGGACTTAACGGGCACAACAGTTGCCATGACCAATAAACGGGAAATACTGGTCGTCTTTAGCAGCACTACACATGACTTAGCTAAAAGCAATGGACATTTGGCTTTTCAGAGACAGTCGGGTCGATGCACTACAGGCGACCTCAGCACACCACTAAATACGTGCTATTCTGCCCTTAGTTCTGGCTCCCAAACTGCCGGGGCGTAGACAACGCCCAACTAGAGTAGTCATTATTACTTGTAGCCTTCAAGACCAGTCCCTTCAACTAGAGTCTCCGTCTTGCGTCAATTCACCGTTCCAACTGTTTTTCTTCTAAGAAATATTTTCGGTGGAAAATTTTGCAGAAAGTAATCTGGGAGCTACCAGCACTAAGGATTTGTATAGTGGGGCAGCATAAAACAGAAGCTCTCGCTAAAAACGAAACGCGACGACTAAAATAAGGCAGACTGAACTGCCATCCTACTTAAGACCTGGAGTCCGTTTGGCTGCCACAGCTCAAGGATCAAGGTACAACACCTTTCACGCTTGTAAGATAGTTGCTATCACTTCTGAGGAAGTAGTAAAAAAATCTCGTCAAGTTGAAACAATTAAGCGACAGTGTTTCTCGAAGGACTTCAACCATCTTTCAAACTCTTCAAATGAGGGCGAACTCGGTTTGCAATCATTAATGTAAGAGGTTCGTTTTTTCAAAATAGGGAGTAGGATACCACATTCAGCCGTATCTCACCCTATGACCTGCCGTCGGACTGGACCCACACAATAAGGGGACAGCCCATGAGGCAGGCCTTGAATTTCAGGGTCAATACATAATCTGACCACAAAACTAATCTTAAACTAATATGGTCAACAGCAGGCGCCCTCATTTGATGGAGCGTGGTCCAAATATTCGCCACAGCGATGTAGCAGAGTTCTCAAAGCCATAAGAGCACTCCACAGACTATTTACGAGGTCTAGTCCACTAATAGGCTTCTGCTTTACTGACTCACAGTTATAGGCAGCAGCGCAGCACTTTAGTAGTGCTGCCGATTTGGTGCTGAGCTAACACAGCCTTCAGCTCTGCCACGTTTCAATGTAAATGTTACGCCGACTTTGAGATTATGCATAAAATTTATTGGTTACTGCATACTTTGATCGCGGTTAACTGGCAAGCAAGGTGTTCGCGGTTTTGGTGACGGTGCTGTATTAAAGTGCTCATCAAGCGGGCCCATAGAAGCAGTCATGTATGGCGGTGCATCACAGTCTCATTCCATTATCGCCTTCATATTTCACATCACTTCTACGACTTCAAGACGGAACATACACTATAGACTTGATTACACTTAATCTTTGCGCTGAAGCTGCTTTTATCACCGATGTCGACTTGCAACGTCAACTTCAGTGACAAACAATTAATCCCATGGTTGCAATTTAAAAAAAACATTACTTATTTCTTTTTCACGACCTCTATTAACTCTTGGGAGGCGAGATATTTTATTAACATAATGAAGTTCTGCTATAGCGAATACCAAAGGGATGGTGCCATCCTCACTGAACTGAACGTAAGATCTCTTTGAAGTAAGAGAGCAGACGCAGCGCACTAAATAGAGCTCTGTGCACTTTCACATCTCCTGGGACCGGGTTGGGTACAGGCCACTTATAAAGCTTGCTAGCCTAGTAAACGCTCACTTAAACCCAGTTTCTATGGTGGAAGAATGCATTTTAAACCATCTACTCTACCATTTATCAGCTAGCATCACAGCAATCGCACCAAGAGTAGTGTTAACTTTTAGATCGGACCGGGAGTGGAGCCACTTTAGTATGTTTAAGCAAAGACTTATTTTATTGGGGAGTTTGATTAGCGCTTACGTATCCGAATGCATGAAGGTTTGCCAACTCATCAATTCATCGACGCAAATCACAACAACGCTGCACAGTTCTCCTAAACGGTGTTCCAACATTGAAAGTGCTTCTGTGTGTCCTCTCCAAGGCTTGAAGATTGCGTGGTTTTGAGTAGCTTTAGCAGCCTTGCCTTAGCAAGTTGAAATACGGTAATCTTACAAGCAGACATGATCCTCCGTAGGCTTAACTGGAGTCGCATCCACGCGACGTGCAAGTTGCTTTAACACTGCCTCATAAACAGAGCTTAGTGTAAGTGTAATACAATGGCGGTTTATCCCTCGAGGTTGGTGAGGCGCCACTTTTGTACTTCGAATTAGCCTTCGTGTACCTCACTGGGTAGGCTGGCCTTCGGGCTATGCCAGTAGCCCAGATACCTTCTCTGTGCTGAATACATATATTCTGCCCGAGTGTTGTGTCTTCTTTTGTCTTCAGGGAAGTCTCCAGACGCTACATAATACTTATGCTGTTTTAATGTTCCTTTTTAGAGAGGTTGCAGGGATACGAATAGAGCCTCGTGAAAGAAGAGTCAACGTCCTGCAAGCCGGAAAGCGTTTACGTGTCCACACTCCCCTGAACTCTGTACCAGTTTTCCCCGTTTATTTGCCCTAATAAACATGTAAAAACCAAACCAACCTATGTGTTCCAAGAGTACGAGGAACAGGGAAGAGGAGACCTACGAGCCTCGTCCTGCATTAGGGTTAGGGTAGGTAGCGAGGAGCCCTATTTCTAGACGCTGTATAGTCAGTTCGGAAGCTGAGGTGTAAAATGGACCTCTCAACTTGGAACTCTGAACTTCATTCTAAATTTCATTCTAATAAATACATTCCGATTTAAAGCGCCAGATTTTAATTTTAGCGACTGTATCTACGTTTAAGGTAGACTAGACTCGTGATTGCATTAGCAATGAAGAAATCGAATGGCAAGCAAATGGACTATTATTATTGGAAATATTTGAAATACTAAACTGCTACGTCTGTGCCAAGTAGTTAAGGGCCACTAAACAACTGGTTTTGCTGCATTTGTAATTTTGTTTGAGTGAAAGAACTGTCAAGATGTAATACGCGGTCATTTTTATGAGAATTCAAGCCCAAACCTTTCATAAGCACTTGCAACATGTTTGATTAAAAAAAGCGTCATATCCACAATAACTAGATGTCTTGATTTCTTAGGTATGCACTTAGCGGTTTTATTAATAAATTGTTTGAGTTACTCATTACATTGCCGCCGAGTTGTAAGGCTAACGATGAATATCCGGAACGCGAGGGTAGTGTCTGGCTCTAATCTTTGAAATGCTTTAGCCCGGCGATCTTCTTGGCATGCGAGATTGTAACCTGGATTGCCTTCCTGAGAACTACGTCATGAAGTATTACTTTTATCATGGACTGTCGTGGCCTCAGCTCTCATACATTGCTGAAGAATCCGATGGTGAAATTGTGGGATACGTATTGGCTAAGATGTAACCCGAATTCATTTAATCATATTTGAAGGGAAGAAGATCCGGATGATCTCCCATATGGGCATATTACTTCATTAGCTGTTAAACGCTCACATCGCCGCCTAGGTCTGGCCAGGACTCTGATGAATCTGGCATCACGTGCAATGGTGGAAAATTTTCAAGCAAGATACGTCTCCTTGCACGTTCGCAAAAGTAATCGGGCTGCTCTTACTCTCTACACAAAAAATCTAGGGTTCCAGTACATTGTACATTCTCTAACACTTCACTTAGAGCATATGATGTTGAACCCAAGTATTACGCTGATGGAGAGGATGCTTATGCCATGAAGAAGGATTTGAAACCGTTTTGGGACAAGGTATTCCGGCTGATTGCACTCAAATCTTATACTTAGTACGGTCCTTCGGATGTCCCTTTCAAAGCGGTGAAGGAGAAAAGCAAACAGAATCTTAATTTGGGCTAATTCCTTGAGACATTTTCAGTAAATTCGTTGCATTGCTATGTGGGCTTGTACAGATTTGTGTATATCATAATAAACGCCACACGTAAGACGCGGTTGTGGGGCTATGGGTTACCTCTGCCCGTGCGGGTGGGCGCGTTGTGTTTGCCTGTGACTCTCGTGGCGGCACGGTTGTAATTGTCCCTCTTTTTCGGTTTTTTTATGCGGGCGTTGGGTCGACTGTTACAACCTCAGTTCATGTACGCGGTGGGATGTACATGCAAAGCTGACTGGTATGGATGTGAGGGAAATCAACAGCGATTTCGATACCGTGTGGTCATCGCCTTTAACCTGTCTGGTAACATGTTGCAGTTAGACTTTTTGGGTGAGTTGTCGCCTGCCATCAATAAAAGGATCTACTCTCCAAACCGTTTGGCTGCCTTTTCGTTGGTTGTTATTGTTCTGCTGCAACTCACAGGTTCGAATCCGGTAATAAGCAAGGAAAGGAAGGAGTTGGTTTGCTCTTAGTGTTGTCCTATTTAAAAATTTTTACTCATATGTTGAAGGCCAGGAAACCTCTCTATGCCAACACTAGCGAGAGTACAGCCGTAGCTATTTGTTTAGACTATTGGTTATCGCGGCTGTTCCGAATTTTGTTTGAATTGACGTTGGGCCGCCCTCTTGCTGCATGTTTTTTAATTGAACTTTTGTGTTAGTCTCCATCGCACACTTCATGGGCGTTCATTTAAATTGTGGTGTATATATCGAGGAATTGTCATCAGCGTGTGGTCCTGTGCACCGCACTATCAAGCACGACAAAGCACGTGTCTCTTTGGTGAAGTCCGATAACTCTGAGCTAATTATTCGCATTAAACCAACCAATGGGTCAAGCAAAAGTCTCGGGTATAAGGTTTCAGATCCCAAGTTTTTCACGAGGTTTATGCGCGAGGGCAAATCAACTGTTTTCTCAAGGGCGGATCCCGTGAACATTATGCTCAGAAATTGCCCGCCTGATGCACTCCAGCTGTTTCTTTACAACGTGAAAGTATTGTGGAATCAGTTAAAGAATCTTAAATCCAGGCGTTCTTCTGTATTTAAAAGGGATACCTCCCTTTCCTTACTCGATGAAGTATTGCCCGTGCGGAATGAGCCTGCATCCGAAAGCGTGACCATGCCCAAGGCAAATTCATTTCCTGGGCCAGAATTGTCTCCCATTCGTGTAGGTTTTTTTCTTCCACCCTTCTCGAGTTAAATCTCGGGGTTTGTTTCTGTAGACGAAAAGACCACACTTGGGACTGACACATACTGGGGCCGGCGTATGTAGTTCAACTCCTGTTCGCAATGCAACACAAAATAAGAAGTCGACAGTGCGGATTGTTCCTCTTTCACTCGGCGTTGATATGGACAAGACGTTTTCCCATGTGCTACTAGATTGGCAAGGTAAAAATGCTTTGGAAAATGGGACGATGGAACAAGCTCGTGTCATTGAATCGGTAAAGAAGGGCGCCAATGTTTTTTGCACCGGGGGAGCAGGCACTGGCAAGTCGTATTTACTCAGAAAGTTGGCTGGTACTGATTAACAAACAACTTTCGGTGCCTTTTTTGTCTTTTTGATACTTGTATATCTAACGATTTTTTAGGAATATTACCACCTTCTGAAACAGCAGTAATAGCCAGCACTGGCCTGGCTGCCAGTCTTATTGGTGGTATCACAGTTCATGCCTTCTCGGGCGTTGGTCAAATGCTGGATCTGGCGGATTTAGAAGACTTGTCTCCTTCCTGGCTTGAATCGGTGACAAAGCGTGTCGTTTCCAATCCACGTACTACCGCGCGGTGGAGAGATGTGCATCGAATCATTATTGATGAGGTGTCCATGATAAGTAGTCGCGTATTTACTCGATTCGAAGCCATAGCCCGTATCGCACTCGGGAAATATGATGAGAAAGTGCCATTCGGTGGAATTCAAATAATTGCATTTGGTGACTTCTTCCAACTCCCACCGGTGCTTCCATCGGCTGTAGCGCATATGGTGAGTTCCGTTGCATTTGCAGTTCTATATCGGCTTGGATAAATGCCTTTCTGCATTCAGATTAAGAAGAAATTTGCCTTTCAATCGTTGGTTTGGCGAGCCTGTCGGTTTCAATGCTTCGAACTGCAGACTTCTTGGCGGCAATCTGGTGATATCAAATTTTTTCACCTCCTTAACGAGGTACGTGAGGGAAGTTCTCCGCAGTGGGTTCTGGATGCGTTGCGATCTCGTGTTCATAAACAAGCTGATGAGCGAAACAAATCTCCCCTACTGACAACTCGCCTTTGTACCCATCGTCGCGATACCGACAGGTTTAATGAACAGTTGCTGAAAAGTCTCCCAGGTAGTCATACCTCTTAGATCCCCATCCTGGTTTATGTGATAGGATATAAAAGAAAATGAGTAGTTCCAGCTGAGTTCTGCAACGCATCAGCTACCGTTTTATCCCCTGATAATTTTTAATCCGATGTTTAATTTTGCTTTTCTGCTGCAGGAGCTGTGAGGGTGTTCGAAAAGAAGGACATAGGACCTAGAAGTTTGATCGCGGAATCATTTTCAGCCATTCCTGATAAGATTAGGCTCAAGGTCGGCGCTCAGGTGATTAATTTTCAATCTTGTAATTATTAAACTTTCGTCTTATTCATCGAAAGTTATCCGTTAAAGCGCTAGGCTGCGGCGCAAATAAGCTGGAATAATTGCACCATTTCCCTCCAATTTGTTTGTATTTTTGAGATCAAGATCTAGTTCTCAATGATGGTAGAATCCGACCGAATTGGTTGCATGATTTATAGAAATCTTATTCGAATTCGTATGCACCTCAGCAACATCCGGTGGAGATCGCTCTGCAGATCCTAGAGAAGTTGGACGTTTCTTTTGCCAGTGGATATAGTTGGAGTTTATGAGGGCATTCTTCGTCATCTGTAGTAAAATATATGTACGTGTTCTGCGCCATAGTGACGCATTAATGTAACGTTAGTCCGTCCCACTGCATCGTGCTTTAGAAATGTAGCTCGGCAGTTGAAATTGGCCCAGATCTTGCTTTTATCGCTCCAGGTGATGCTCCTGCGTAATTTGGACGTGTCACGGGGACTGGTGAACGGCGTGCGGGGTGTGGTGGAGAGCTTCACGCCTTCCTCTGAGGGCGGCTTCCCCTTGGTGCGTTTCTTCGTGCCCCCCGCGGTAGCATCTCCCGCCTCTGAGATGAGCGTGGTTGTTCAACCGGAGCGTTGGACTGCTAATTTTGGTTGCGGTGCCACTGGCAAGGAGGTACAGGTTACCCGACTCCAACTTCCACTTTGCTTGGCATGGGCTATCTCCATCCACCGAAGCCAAGGTATCACTCTGGACAGTGTGGAGGTGGACTTGTCTAGGGTGAGATCTCCACTGCTTTGAGTGTTCTTTCTAAAATAGCGACTATTCGAAAAGCATCGGCCATCATTTCAAATAAGGCATGTAGTTTTTAGCGTCTATAGTCACCTAGTGGGAATATGGTTTTGTAGGTTTTCGAGCATGGTCAGGCATATGTGGCGCTTTCGCGATGTCGCAGATTTGGGGGACTGCATCTCCTTAGTTGGCAAAACAATTTCATTCGGGTGGACCGCAGAGTAACCGAATTCTACCACCGGATCCGCGAACAATCAAACACAAACTTAAACTGACATGTCTATGTGGCTCTCCTCCTAAATCTGCACTCACAGTTCTGTACAGTTTAAATTTCCTTTTGTGATTATATTTTGTCGGTACACCTTTATAAGTATTTATAATTTAAGCGCACAATTATTTACATCCCTGTCTTTTAGTGTTCGGTGAGTCAGTGTAAGCTTGAGAACCACGTGTATACTGATGACCTGTATAGTATTGTAAGCAGATGTCGTTATAATAGGAGCGTTTAATCAAAGCCGAAACTTCTGGGTTCACAAGGGGACACTTCCTTCTTGATTTACTTCGACATTACTGGTGGAGCGCAAACCCCAGGGGCACTGCTCTAGAGTTCCAAACCGGTGGGTTGCAGAGGGGGACGGTGCAGCCCACTGCCTTTCTTGGGTCGCTGGTCGTATTGCACTAAAGGAGGTCTGCATTTACGCAGATGCGAAGCTTTATCGTCGACAACAGGCGGTGATGCGCAAATCCGGCAAGCGAGCGTGGAATGCGAGCCATCCAACCCAAAATCAACCTGCATAGAGAAGGATGAACTTCTCGATCGCTTGAGGTGAAACCGATTTCTGCCAGTAATGCGGTAGCTAAAACCTTTGAACTAGTCTCATTAAATCAAGTTCGTGAATCTAACTATGCAGCTAGCTGTGTGAAACTCTATCTAACAGTCACTGGTACCCCAAAAATTCAATTCTTACATGAGAAGTCGAATGATAATTACTAACGTCTTTGATAATCGAGTATGAATCGTAAGTACATTGTCTACTGACATGTCATTTATTATTCAGCAGTAGGCAGTAAACGTGCGATCGAAATGAATGTGGCGTCCCAAGTCCATCATGGAGTCATTAGAAATCACATTAGTGTCAGGAAGGAGGACTTATAGGTTCTTAGCCAAGTCGGCGATCCAAGCCGCCGAGCCGAATCGCAAACTTCTGAGACAAATTTTCGTGCAGTCAGACGCAGAGATAGACAAATTATGAGAGCATTACATGAACTAAATGTGGTCCAGGTGACCGACGTCCCTCAAAAGTGGATGCAGCATGCTGTGCTTGGCGGATTTGAGTGGGCGTGTCTGCAAAAGCATATACCAAATTCAATAAATAACAAATAAGCCCCTTACCAAATTCTGAAAGCTTTAAGAAGTGGGTGGCAATTTAGGATTTTTCCATGACTGAGCAGATTCACTGTGAAACAATCCACTGTGGGTCCCAATAAAGAATTGCAGCATGTTTGTCGATTAACTGTCGGTTTTGGTAAAGGCGATGCTTTGAATCACAGTAATTATATTTTCGTCAGGTGGGCTGGCCTCCGAGCCGGACCAATGCATCCAAGCACTACTATGGAGTGAGACTCATCGGTCTCCGCTACCCTATTCCTAGCGTTCCTAGACAAGCCCGGTTGATTCGCTTTGGACATCTTTGTTAAAGGTGACAAGATGGAGAGGGAAAATACAATGTTCAAGAAGGAGGGGAGCCGCAGTCACTAGGTAAGGGAGAGGACGATCCGGTCACGAGATTCGAATTTCCTGCTTGCCTCCTCCCTGAAAGGCCCATTAAAACAACATAAGTATTACACTACCGTATGTCGATGGTACATATTATGCACGCGTATTGTCTCCCTCCGCCTTTGAGTCAATTCCGAGGCGCCACGTTGGTGGCATCGGGAAGCGAACCCGACCTCAGACGACGTCTATCCTAACTTCTACAGCTGGTTGACAAACCTTAGCGGGACGCAAGAAGTGTGTATGCTGCGGATGGGCGAATTGGTGGCCACCCCTAACAGAAAGGGTGGAAGTGACATCTGCCTCCGCCAACTACCCAGTCTCGTCTTCTGTAGAAAATCTATTGACAACAGAAGCGACACTGGCCGTGAACCATCTGAAAAAGTGTTGCCATTGGCGTTGTCTACCTTACATGTGCGAAGATATAAATTACGTGGAAATGCGACACTTCTTCTGCTTCTCTAGTAGCTGGATAGATCTTAGGCAGGTATGGCTGGGCAGCATTGAAGTGAGAACAAAGCGGTAAGGAGAAATGAACGCGAAACATCATCCCCACAGGATTATGTCAAACGCCATACTTTGGTTACTTGACAATGCTTTTGAGCCAGCATTCCTGTGGCTAGCTATGGACACGTGTGATGGTCAACCCATTATCCCGTCCCCGAAATCAGTTCCCATTGAGGGCAGAACTGTAGATTCAGAAGAATTGGCAAGAGAAATCGGTGACGTTGTGGTCAAGTATCTCCTCAATTGTATGGAAATGTTATGACCGGCAAGGTTGGCTCGTACGTGCTCTTCAAACCGCACCGATTACGTTGTGATGGCTGATATGGGAGGTGGACTAGAGGGGACGACGAAGACAACGCCCAGAAGAGGAGAGGAGCTATGTAATACGCTCGTAGTTTGGTTAAATCTCACTTTTGATAAAGGGGCCAC